CCCCGGCCGTTACGGTCCGTTGGGACGTCGGTAACCGACGGCTCCTCCTCGCTCGCTCTGCTGAGGAGAGCCCGGCGGCAGCGTCCGGGTGGGAGGCGGCGGGGGAGGGGGTTCGGTGCGCCTCTTCATCTCCTCCATCGCGTCCTGCGGCCGCCCGGCTCTTATGAGGCGGCCCCTGGGGCAGCCTGAGGGGCGGGCGGGAGGCGCGGGCCCTGCCCCGTAAGGCGGCAGCAAACTGCGGGGCTGCCCCGCCGGTGGGTCCCGGGCGGTGGGGGACGGCCGGGGAGGGGTCGTTAACGGGTTTCCAGAGGGGTCTGAAAGTCGGCGGTGGAAGGCAGCCATGTGCAGCTCACCCGAGAAAGATCCCTTAGCGCCTTTTGAGCGTGGGCCTCCAAAAAGCACCGTGCTGCAAAAATCTTCTCTGGCGTGATTCTGCTTCCAAGGCGGGTAGAAACTCGTTCTTCATTAACAAAACGTCATTGTGTATTTTAATTAAAAAAAAAAAAATTAAATTCCACCTTGCCGTGTGGTTTGTGCCTCCTGCCCTATCACCTGAGAAGTGCTGAGAGGTGGCAGCTGGTGTGGGTAGGAAAACCAGACCTTAGTTGAGCAGGCCGTGCTGTGCTTTGGGTGTGTTTTGGCCAGGTTTGGGTGGTGGGCAGTTTTAAGGGAGAGCTCAGCTAGTGCCCGTGGCAGTGGGGGACCTTGGTGTGCAATCGGGAGGAAGGGTTGAAGGCTCTGCCAGTGGGGTGCCCAGCAGAGGTGGATGGGATTGGGGCTGAGGCACAGGTAGTCGGTGGGAAGAGGGCACCTATTTCCTTTAACATGGCAGTGGTTACCAAAGGGCTGCTAACACATTTGTTGTTCAGAAAACTATTTCCAACCACTAAATTGCAAGGAGATTCTGGAACAATTTCCTAGGAAAGGCAGAGGGACCAAAAACCACAAATAAAACTTGTTCAGGCTCAGAGAAGGCGTGAAAAAAGTTTCCTGTGCCTTGAGCAGCAGTCCTTAGCTAGTTTTCCTTTCCTATAACAAGCGACATATCAGCTGCTATATTTCTTCTTGTGCCATTCTTAATTAAATGGCAATTTGAAGTCCTCTTCTTCCTCTTCCAGATGCATCCAGTCCTAAAGGCCTTCGTGTGTGGCTCCATCAGTGGGACTTGCTCCACACTCCTCTTCCAACCCCTTGACCTGCTGAAAACCCGACTACAAACTCTGCAACCTGCTGTGAATGGGTGAGAGAGTGGAGATGTGTATGCATGGGGGTTGTGAGGGTGCTCCACCATAGGCTTCTGCCTGATTTGCTGGCTGGGGCTTGGAGTACAGGGTTGTAATTCAGATACTGAGAGTCTTTCTGAAATAGGAGATATGTTTTTGTAGCATGGAGAAGGATTGGTATTTTGCTCCAGAAGATTAAAAATAGCTGCTCTTGTGAACACTGCTTTAATAGCATGTATGCAGAGCATTTGTCTGTATGCATCTGAGAGACTGGCGTTTGCTGGAGTGGCCACCATGCAGTTTCACAGGGTGTCCTCTGTCTGAAAAATCATATTTGATTGTCACATAACCTGTCCACATGTGAGTTGCTACCATTTGCTCGGTATAGTCAACTATGACTGCTGCTGCGGCTGCTAACAAAGGGAGCAACTAAAGATGCTAACGAGAGAGGCCTCTAATGTGTGTTACAAGTGGCGAGAAAGCAGAAGGTGACAGAGGAGCCCTGGAACGACTGACTGAGGAAAGCAGGCTGAGTCTAGAAGGAGCACCTCCAAGGTGCTGGGGTAATGCACAGAGATATGAGTGGAAGGGGGTGGGTGCAGAGTACATCTGCCAGAGAGCATAAGCAGATTATCTCTGCAGTTCCTGTCTTGTCTTCCTTTCAGGTCCAGTCGTGCTGGGATGGTAACGCTGCTCTTTAGGGTTGTTCGTACTGAGAGTCTTCTGGGACTCTGGAAAGGTGTCTCTCCAGTAAGTGGCTGTTTTAACCCTGACTTCTGAAAATAAACACATGAATAAATCTATCATTTATTACTAACTATGGATGAGATTTAAATAGCCAGCTCTTGTACAATTATCAATGAAACGATGTGATTTAAATGGTTAAATCCTATTTTAAGGAGTTAATATTGTGAATTCCATTGATTAGGTCATAGCAGTCACTGTGGATTTGCAGTCCTGGGCAGCTGAACACTTGAATACCACTGCAAATGTGGGGTGGCAACTACACCAACCTCATTTTGTTTTGGAATATCTTGTTCCTAGAAAACTGTAGTTGAGGAATGTATTAAATCCTGGCATTATTTGAATCAATTGGCTCTCAATGCTGTAAATGATTTTAACCTTGTTTTCTTTCTTCAGCATATTAGCTGAGGAAAAAATCACTAAAGGGATTTTTTTTTTTTGTTTTGGTTCAAAGCTTCCCGTCAAGTTTAATAGTCTCTGAAATGTTCTGCAGTACATTTTGTCTTATGTGTGCTTTTTCTTTCTTCATCTGCTTCTGTTTCTTCTGAAGTCCTTTGCAAGATGTATTCCTGGGGTTGGGATTTACTTCAGCACTTTGTACATGATGAAGCAAAAGTTTCTAGTGGACCGTTCACCTACAGCCCTGGAGTCTGTCTTTCTGGGTGCTACTGCACGTGCAGTATCTGGGATTTGCATGTTGCCAGTGACTGTAGTGAAGACCCGATATGAGGTGAGTGTGACTTTCTAATTAGTTCCTTGTTAATGATGCCACACCCCTTCCTCATGATGAAAAAGAAATTCTTCTGTCTGGAGAAGATTGCTGCCACCTGAGTGCAGTCAGGGATGGAGTCATGATTTCATCCTGGTTCATTTGTTGTGCAGGAAAAGCCATGTGCTAATTTTTAGGTCAGAAATGTAAGGTGAAACAGAATTCATCCTGAGATTTTTAAGTTTCAGTTGTATACAATGTGTAATTTAGTGTCTTGCTTGTTTTACCTTCTTGAAGGATTGTTTTAAAGGCCAAGGTAGGTGGAACTCAGTTTTTGCCTTGGGCTGTCCTCTGTGCTGCTGTGTCAAGCATCACACAGAGCACATACTAACACTTGTGTGTAGGGTTCCTTGGCCTGTGGCTGGCACACGAATGACAGACTGTTGTCTACCCTTGCAGAGTGGAAGATTTGGCTATGGGAGTGTATATGGAGCTCTGAAGAATATCTATCAGACGGAGGGGGCTCGTGGCATGTTCAGTGGGCTCACTGCAACCCTGCTGCGGGATGCACCCTTCTCTGGGATCTACCTGATGTTCTACACACAGACCAAAAACTTGACACCTCAGGGTAAGGCTGAACATTGGAGGCTGCAATGGGAGATGTTTCTTATCTTGCCCTGCAGGTGACTGCCTGCATGGTCTGCTTATTGCCCTCTACCTCAAGTAGTTAAATTAGTCTCTTTAGGTGGTACTTTCACATTTTCCTGTGAAGAACTGTAAACCTATAGCTCAGGTCCGTGTAGAAATAGAAATTGGCCCTAAATTGATTGATTGTTTTTATGAAGACTGACGCATAAGGTGGGTTAGTGAACAGTTGAAAGAGAGGATGTGTTCAGCCATCCTTTCTGTCGCTGGTTGTCTTGCATGCTGATCAGTTTCCACTAACCCGGGGTTTCTCTCATGTCAGAAGTGGCTGGGGCAACACTTGCGTGATCTTTCCTTCTGTGGTCTCTGTCAAATGCAGTACCCCAGCCAGTGAGGCTTTTTAATAGTACTAACTTCTGACTTTTAGCCACGTTTCCCCTTGGAAGGTTTCTCTACCCTGTGTGGATTTTAACTGCTCTTAGGCTTGATGTTGATTTAATCATTCAGTAGCTTTTCACTTTGTCAAGCAGCATGAGTATTCCTGGCCTGTTTTGGGTCTGAGCGCATTCCCTTTGTTCTCTTGCAGACCAGCTGGATCCAGTGCTCATGCCCTTGCTGAATTTTGGCTGTGGGATCTTTGCAGGAATCTTGGCCTCACTGGCAACACAGCCTGCTGATGTCATCAAAACACACATGCAGCTTTCCCCTCAAAAGTACCGCAGGACAAGTCAGGCCATTGCCTTCATCTACAAGGTGAGGTGAATCCCTTCTAATGTGCGCAATCACAGCCTTACTTCTGATCTCCTCAGCCAAAGCACAGCTACGATAAGAAAGTTGTCTTTTAATGGAGGTAAACAAACACGACTGCTTGATGTGCTCTTGCAGTCAGGCTAATCAGCGTCAGAATTTTCAGCAGCTGAGGTGGGTCTTGCTGTGGGAGACTGAGCCTGAATCTCTTGTCACGGGTTTCTGTGCAGATTTGTTCAGTAGTAACTGGAAAGTACCCTGGTTGGTGGTCCGAAAGCAGTCAGAAGCTTAAGTCTATTTGTTGCTTTTCCTTGTAATTAGAAAGGCTGTTGTCACTACTCAGATGTGTTTCTTGCTCCTCTTGAATGGATTGCAAGGCAGTGAACTTGGTCCATGATAATTCTCGCCATTCCTCAGTCCTGTATCTGTTTTCACGAAATTACAGATGGTGGGGAATTGGAGAGCAAGCTCAGAGTACTGGAGCACAAAGGTGGGCATATTCCATCAAGCGTCTCTCCACATAGGCCTGCTTTGTGTTTCAGGCTGGTGAATGATTTCACTTCAGTTCTGTCTGTTACGTATTGATTCTTACACTGCTGGTGATGGAAAGCGCTTAGCTTATTTCATCTTGATTTCATTTCATCTTAGCTTAGTATGTAGGCTTGGAGGAGCTGTACCTGTCTGTTTATCAGTGTACGCGCATCTGTGATTACCATACTGGGGCAAAGGGTTTCTTTAGTATGTAGCATGAAATGCCAGTTTCAGATATAAGCTAGCTACAAAACAATTCTTTGCCCTTTGGACACTAAAAGAGAAATAAATGCCCAGATCTGTGTTCCAGGAATGGGATGGAGATGCCCTCAGAAGGGCAAATCTTGGCAGGTTTGCTTTGTTTCCATATTGAACTCGATTCCTAAACAGGAATCTGTTTATTTGTGTGTGATTTTTTTTGTGCATGGTACATTTTTCTCATATCAAAATGTTTTTTTACTTCAGTACTTACAAATCTCAATTTTTACAGAACAGCGAAGTGACTTTTGTAAATACGAAGCTCTAAACCGAGGAAAAGT